ACATGCAAGTCCTGTCACCGACAGCCAGTTTAGTTTCACTTTTCTTTTTGTTTTCGTTTTAAAAAGCTTGTTATCTTTGCTGTTTACCTCACGTTACGCTATGGAGGCTTTCTTTATTATTGTTATTTTTTTATTTATTTGATTCCTCACTGTTTGCCAAACATTCTGTAATTTATTATTCAGTATATAATATAGCATGTGGAGCCATGCCTCATCTTATTCGTTTTTGTTAATAAACGTTATGTAAGCTAGTTTGTCATTACAGACTGCCTACTGTTTTATTGTTGTTGTGCTTTTTAATTAAAAATAACAACGAATCAATCTTTTTTTTTAGTCTTATAAAGTGAAAGGTGTATAGATATAAGCAAAACAGACAATTATCTTTTCTTGTAAAATGTGACACCAAGATCGCGAATTCGAAAATGAAAGCGTCCAAAGTCTGGCTTATAACACAGCAAAAGAGGAATTCCCGTTCACAAAATTCAAATCACAAATAATACTGATGAAAAAGAACGGGTTTAATGTTGAACACTCGTTACCATATAACTATAAACTATGATAAAAGTTCATCAGCATGCATCGATTAATGCCATGTTGTAGCAAAAAAATAAAATAAAAAATGCGACCAAATGATGTGCTCGTGTGACCAACTGAGAAAGTCGCAAAAGAGCGACCATTGGGAAGAATGAGTCTAGAGCCCTGTATAGACTAAATGCGGCATTATGCGGATGCCACTATCAGTGAACAGAGAGCAAATATATGTCAAAATGTATAAGGCTAGAGCACCCTCACTGATTTCAGAAGCACCCTCAGTGATTGATTTAGGAACCGGGCCTGCCTGTTTGGAGATTATAACTTTATATATTTCTATATTAGCCTATACATATTTACCCCATATATTAAACCGTGTGTATCGCTCTAACACAATGTAGCCTACTGTACGTGCATTGAGCGACCATGCATGGTCCTCTCCAATAATGTACCCATATAGCACACAAAGTTATGACAAAATTATATCCCAATATATAATTTCATGATGATAGATTTCCCAGGATTCTGCAATGTCTATTTAAAAAAATCATATTTGCATTAAGTCTCTGCATTGTTCCAAAGATGACTCTAGTTCTCAACTGAACGTGCGGGAGAAGCATCACTAAATTTGGCCAAAGAAAACTTGTTAAAATCGACATTTTTCTATATTAATTTGTGCATTTTTAAAATGTTTATTAAAAGTGCAAAAATTCATTAACAAAAGTCTGAAAAGAAGTCAATATTTTACTTTTTTCGGGCAGCATTTTGTGTGTACGGTTCTAATTTCAATTTTGGTTTTCAGCATAGCATTTAAAAATACAACAACCGTTCTTTTTTTCGTTTTTTCCGTCATGGTTAAAAAACTAAAAACGAATGGATGCAAAAGTACACGGACTGGAAAAAACAAATATTATTTACAAAATATAAAATTATTATTTGGTGGAAATTGTCATGGTACCTGTCAAAACAAACAATTTTATGGTATGAAATTATGGCATAATCAAGGTATTTTTTATACTGTAAATGCAGAGTTTGTATCTTGCTCTAGTTTTCATACCTTCGCAGCTTCCACCATTCTGGCAGTGGCATCGGCCAACAGCTTGGCAGCCGCGAGCAGTTTCTTGGAATTATCCACATCGATTTCAGCCTCGGCGTCGGAGCGCATCGCATTCACCAAGTCCGAGGTGGCCTGGGCCAGAACCCGCGCCTGTCGTACCATTTCACCTGTGAATGTGAAAATAAATGCTATTTAAAAGCCACAATATCAGTATGCTGTGTGGGCAGATTTGATATTTCTTCAGAAACATCTACTGGCATATTCTTGGCTCCTTCCACAGTATATTCACTGTCCTTGACTCCAGACTGGAGGAGAAAAAAACCAATAGCCATTCCACGTTTCTTTGATGTGTGTGAATCTGGCTCCGCTGAAGCTGTTCTCTTTGAAAATCAATCTTTCTGCATTCTCTCTGCATATCGCTTCAGGAACCGAAGTGCTCAAATGGTTGTGCACCCGTGTGACCTGAAGTACATCACTGATCAAGGGCCCTTTCAAAAGCGTGCCTACTCATTTTCCATAAATGGACGCTGTAGTTCCCGAACACCTACATAGATCCAGAAATACAAGCGTTGACAAGATTATCAAGGGAGAGAGGTGTGCTTAAGGGGTGTTTCACCTCTCGAAACGTAGGATGGATTCAGTGTGAAAATAGTAAGCTTGTTAAATCAACATGAAGCAGCATTCACCCATTTTACTTTCTCTATTTCAGAGTTAAATAACAAAAAAAACAAAAAAAGGCTGGACTTGATTTGATTCACTGCAAAATGAAAAGTAGGCTTTTCATAACAGAATGAAGTCAGACCTGAATGCAAGTTCGCAGCTGAATGTGGGCCACAACCTCACTTCTGAAATACCGCCACATTTGAGGATGCTTTTTGACTGGGATGTGGAGACTGGAGGTCAGGTTCATCTTTAAGAACATCTCAATGTATTTAAACAGTAACACTTCTTTTATAAACGCAGTGCATTTGCCATTATTTGCCTTAAATCAGTGAATTAACTACAACAGTAGCCTAAAACAATGCTTAAACAGCTGTTTGGCTGTTGGTTGCTTAAATTCACATTTCTGAACTTCTTTCATTTTGGGTTTACCAAAAAAGGGCACCATTTGGTGGGTTAAAAAAGTATTTATGGATAGATTATTAATATGTTTGGATAATTCTTTGTTCAAATGACAAATGTTTAGCTTAACAATAAAAAAAAAAGTAAATAAAATTGCAACCATTTTAACTGCAAAATAACTTTAAATAAATAAAATGGCCTTAACAACAATAGTAGTAATAATAATAATAATAATAATAATAATAATAATAATCATCATCATCATCATTAAAGTTATTTACTGTATTTACAATAATATAAAGATATCATACCTTACATGTTATAATAGAAATAGAATAGAATTAGAAATTCTATAATTTCATCCATCCATCCATCCATCCATCCATTCATTCATTCATTCAAATCATGTCTGAAAAATACTAAGGATTTAATTTAATACCTCTTAATGTTCCAATTTTTATAACTGGATCTAAAACATTATATTATATTTTCTGAATTAATTTTTTATTAATTTATTTTTGAGTGAATATTTTGTAAAAAAAAAAAAAAAAGTTTATTTATTGATTTAAAATAAATATTTATATATAAATATATTTATTATTTATTGTATTTATTGTAGTCTAAATTATTAAGTTATTCAAAAAGCATAAATAAAATCATTTAATTTGGTTCTGCATATTGGCTAAATAATTTTTTTTTAATCGTTCATAAAGCAATATCTACCAATTGCCAATATTAAGTTATGTTAAGGTCGCATGGCTTGAGTGATGTCAGCAAAAAATTAAATTTGTTTCAGCAAATTACTACATGAAGGTACAAAAAGTAAATTTTTTTTCTTCTGAATAACTGATGAATCATGCACAATACAAACCATAACGTGTATTAAAGCAAACAGAGTCAATATTGATTTATTGTTAACTTTCAAGCTAAACAAATCTTTGATAATGATGATTTGTTGGCTCAGGTCGTTTATCATGTTCCATGTTTAACTTGAACAGTTGCAGTCAACCCCACCGGCAGCTTTTGCCATGTGTTTTCCTTTAAAAAGTTCAAAGACAGAGCGTGCGTGATTGAGAGCAGATTTGATGCTCTGTAGCGGTTTTATATGACATGTTTTCAACAACCTCGCGGGCACAGAATCTTTTGAGGATTCTTTAGACTTATGGCCATAGCATAACAAACATCTTCAGTTTTGAAAACAGCCCAAAAACACAGCTCAGACCGCAGACAAAATCACTTTTAAGGACTTCACGAAGTCAAAATAAACTGGGGGTCAAATTCTCCCAGAAAAACAACAGACAAGATACAAAGGCTGAGCAAAGATAGCAAGCTAAATATTTGTCAGCGCATTATATTGGAGAATTAATGTTGCTTATGGTTCACCTGAATTAGGACTGCAAGTGGGTGAGATGTTAGTGCACAATTGAGAGCTTCAAAATGAGGCCAGGAACAGCAAAAAAATTGTGCAATTCTGAATATGGACAAGCTAATCTTATTGCGTCACAGCACAGATATGCTTTGTTTGGACGATGTGCCTGAAAGATATTAAAGCTCTCTTGCATATTACTGTATGCTTATTTGACTTTGATTTCCATTTATTAAATAAATTCTCTGTAGCCTGGAATTGTTTTACATCCTGTGGTACAGGCCCATCTATCGAATTTAGCGGCGCTTTCTAAGGCGAAAATCGCTTTTTTTATTGCTCATTTTTGTGGTTAGGGGATTTGAACAATCCCTTAACCCCAAGTAATAAACATTGGTGCATAATTCATCCTGCAATGTGCATGACAGCTCAAATTTTGCAGCTTGTTGAGGAGAGGTGTGCTATTACTTAGTGTTCAACCATATGATTTTGGTGGAGAATGCGGGCAAAGAAAACTATGAAATGACATTAGGTCGCATCTAGAAACCATTCAGACTTGAAGGTGGGCACTTTTAATATTCAATTACCAATTGCCACAATAATTGGATGTAAAATTTTACAAAAGTTTTACAAATTATTAAGGATTTAACGATTAACCGCGAGCCGGTTGAAAATCGATTTAAATATGTGACGATTCAAATCGGTTGAGATGCTAAACAAATCGCGATTCATTTAGGGGTAGGAGTTTATATGAATGCATGTCTGAGGGGAACTTACTGTCTTTAGAAAAGTTTAGATG